CCTCAATAATTCGGGTATTATCAACATAGATCTTGCACACATTGGAGGATCAATCCATCCTAAGAATCTGCATCTAGAACCCTTCACGTAAAAAAAACCCTAAACATGAGGGTGATTTTCCAAATTGAGGGTAAAATAGCAAAATGGAACACTTACCTGTTGAGGGCATGAAAGAAACCTCCGACCAGGGTTTGCTGATGTCCAGGAGGTGCAAACCACCACGTCCCTACCACAGAAACACATCACCATTTTAATTTTTGATGTCTAAAAAGTTGCGAAGACAGAGTAGGAAGAATATGAAGCTTGTGAAGGTTGAAGATGGAAGAGTGATGTAGCTCCTGCTTTTATTTTGAATAAGGTTGCAAAAAAGGTCCATGTAGGTGGAAAGACGAAAATACCCTCGTCTATATTGCAGCTAACGGCACAAATGGATGGAAGTTAGTGTAAGGGACCAAAAACAATGGAAATATCCAATTTTGGACCAGTGGTGCACCAAGGTATCGTTTTGGACCAAAGTCGCATAATTTTGCCAACCACATGGACCATTTTTGCAATTTTGTCCATTATAAAACTTCAATATTTTGACCTCCCTCCATCACAAAACAAGGAAAAACAGGTATTTTCTTCAAGGAACAAAATGGGAGCTCGTTGTTTCTACTTTTCTTTTTGTTTGTGGGTGGTCAAGTTTGAAATCCAATACGCATCCAGGTACGTGAAGATTGATCATGGGTTTATGGAAATCTGAATCTTGAATTTGTATAATCACTATTGTATTTTTATGTATGACTGCAATGTGTTTGATAATTTGCTTCAGAGAACGGTGGTGGGGATAGGGGATAGCGATAAGCTAAAGCTGCCAGCTTTCCGAGAGTACAAGTTAGATCAACTTAAAGTTGCTAAAGGTGGGTTTTCTGTCGAGAATATTGTGTCTGAGCATGGTGAAAAAGCACCTAATGTTGTGTATAAAGGAAAGCTCGAAGATGATGATCGTTTAATCGTTGTTAAAAGGTTCAACAAGTCTGCTTGGCCTGATGCTCGCCGTATGTCACCACATATTCATACATATTTATCGCAAGTCAGAATGTTTGGTAAACGAACAAACTTGGGAAACTGATCGGAAAATTGATCGCTTGGCTTGATATAAATTGGTCAATAGTCGCTAATGGTCAAGATTCTAGAGGTCTCGTGTTCATATCTGATGATTTACTAACAGTACGATTGTTGGCACTTGGCAGATGTCAATAGTTTCATCCATTGAGTGTGGTTCCCGATGTCTTTCAAGAAAAAATAAACCCATGTCTTATTAACCAAATTACATATATTAATTTATTTAATTCAATTTGATCAAAAATTGAAACAATTTATATTGCAGTTTCGTCACCTTTTTTTATATGCAAAGTGAACTTATGTTATTTCTTTTTCTTTTGCAGGTAGAGTCATAGCAGGAAGTGTAATTTACAGTTTTGGCACCATACTGCTTGATCTTTTGAATGGAAAACACATTCCTCCAAGCCATGTAAGCTCATTCGAGTTTGAGTGCTCATTTATTTCCAGATCTACTCTAATCATGTCATTATCATTTCAGGCACTTGATTTGATAAAAGGGAATAGATTGTCAAGACTTACCGAATATGCAAAATGAACTAGTTTTGTTTAAATCTTTGGAGGTGTAGTTCATCAAGAGTGGGACCATGGTGTCACCAACTATGTATGTGAGAAGGTGTTTGTGTAATTGTGTTATTTGATGAATAATAAGGGACAAGAATCGTTGGGAGATGCGATGCAAGCACAAGTGATATCGCCTTATTGGTCAATTGAGCTTTATCTGCAAGCAGTTGTTTTGTTTAGCCTATGAATGTATAATGATGCACGTGAAACACTTAAAGATGCGGTTTCAAGGTACCGGAGAGTACACAAATCAATGAACGACTAAAAAAAGTTCTTTTTTGGGAAAATCCTTTGGGATCCTCAAATTCCCCTACTCTCTTGTAAGCGTTAAGCTCACTAGTGTGTTCAAATAAAATCATGTTAACATAATTTAACAAGGACACTAGAAAACTTCCTCAAATATTTAAGTGGTGCAAGTTTGGGTATTTTTTTAAAGAATCATCAAAACGAGAAAAAAAAATTGAGGGACCCTAAATGTAAATCTTTGAAACTTAAAATGATGAAGAGATGAACGTAATTCCCTTAAAGTAAAAGGGTCCATTTTATAAATTCTAAGAAATTGAGAAAATGACATTGTGAGTTTGTGACTGATTTAACGTGACGACATGTTGGAGCCATCGTAACGTTTGTTAGTTGTTACTTTAGTCGACAAATTAGGCAAATTTTTATAAAGTTTTTCTAAGATGTAGACGAAAAATGCAAGCTACGGTTCTTACGAAGTGGCCTTAAGGAGTGATTTGTTCATCCTTTTTGACAGGCCACCGGTGGGAATTGGGACATGGACACGAACATCGATTCTCCAAAATTAAAGGAAACGAAAATATGATTATTGGAAAGATTTGTAATGAATTTGAAAATGATTTTGGATCAATTGGTACAAAAATGAAAATGATTTCAAATGTACCAAAAAGAAAAGATTGAATGTTTTTGGTTAAATCTGTGTATTTCATATGACGAAAGTTTTTTTTTAAATGACATGAAGTAGTAGCAGGATAGAAGCTTGAAATAAAGACACAAGGACTGGTATTTCATATGTATCAAAGACTGTAAGATACTTGCGTGCTATGTTTATCATTTGTAACCCATGCGTTTAGCATTATGAATGTAAAATAATGTGTATTTAAACTTGGGCATTTGTAAGTTACGAAATAAGATCATAACAATGTTTTATTAAATACATAAATTTGTATTGTAAAAATATAGGCTGTTACAAGTTGTTTATCGTCACGCATGCGAAATTGGTACATTACCTACGAAATCACCAAAATAATGCAGTTTTAAATTTTATGTTATTTTATTATTTCATTTTACTTACGAAAATACAAAAAGTTTTTTGTGGTAGAAATCTTCAAAGGCTATTTCTACAAAAAAAAAATAATAATAAATAAATAAATAAATAAATAAATAAAATTATTTTGTAGTGTTTGCCTATAAAAATAATAATTTTTTTTTTATAGAATTTCAAATATCTGACTTGCGAAATTACTACGAAATATAACAGTTATAGGTGTTAGTCGAAAAAACAATCTTTTTTAAGTTTTTAGTAGTAGGGATTTTCAAAGACCGTTTTAAATAGTGTAAATATACAATTTTTTTTAAAGCTTTTTAATACGGTTCTCACGAAAAAAATTGTAAAATGACAAAAAAAATGATATATAGTGACCACTCATAACCCATTTTGTAGCTCATTTACCTAATTTGGCAGCCCATTTAGCAGTTTCTCAGCTTATTTAATGATTTTGCAGCCCATTTAACGATTTCTCAATTTTCAATTTGTAAAAATTAAAAGCTAAAATGAGAAATCTTTTGATTTTTTCCTAAATCATGGAAAAAACCTAATGAAATTAGGTAATTTTGTATTTTTCTCTAAAAAGAGAGGATATTTGGCCTCATTGTCATCATTTATATGCATAACAACATTATTGGGAAGACATGATTTGGTTGATTTATAAGCTTAACTTGGTAGCCACCAAGAAAACCAACATATAAATTTAATATCATAAACCAAATCCATACCATAACATGTTTAATCTGACATTATATATTACAAAACATCATTGTTTCGCTCCCACAATCTATAGTAGAAATAGAGACTCTAAATAACTTAAGAGGAACTCACTTTGAATAAAAGAACTATGTATCGAAAGTGCTTGAGCTAAATTTGTTAAAACCTTAATCACATATATTGAAAATCTTACAAAAACAAATTTTAATACGTCTTAAATGGGTGTACAATGCAAAGGTATATATAGTAGCACCAAGTTCTTACAAAACTGTAAGAAACAAGTTCTATAAATTGAAAAAAAAAATTAGTCTTTATATTACTGTCAAGGATAAATTTTGAAAAATTTATAACTAAAGTCTCAATTTCTCAATTTTAAAACCCGGGTCGACCCGACCGGTTCAACCGGTTGGACCGTGACCCGGAGTAAAAGCCGGGTCAATTGAGAACGATTTTTTGTAAAAGTACGGACCGAATCGAACCGCCAGAGTTTCCCCTAAACCGCGGTCGAACCGGTTAAAACCGGATTGACCTATTTTAATAGGGCTTGGGTACAAGTAGCGAACGCCAAAACTATGTTTTGTTTTGTTTTGTTTTTTGTACTCTTGTGGTTTTTATTGTGTTTAGATTGATCTATACCATGTTTTGATATATTTTTCAATGTTTAAACTTTGTAGACATCAAATTATTGGTTTTATATGTCTATGCATTATGCTCGAAAGTAAAAATATATGAAAATAAAAAAAGATCATAAACATGATTGACCCGTGTACCGATCATTACACCGAGTCAACTAAAAACCTTTTTTTTAAAACAATGCAATTTCTAGTATCCACGCCACTACACTATCTTATAAGTTACTTTGTAAACTAATCACTTTTATAAGCTATTTTTATAGTTTTACAAAACACTAAGTTACAATAAACCAGCTTATTTTTACAAAACATAGCCTAAATAGTCCAAAACATTTTGTTTTTGCATTTAGTTTTCTACCTATAACTAAACACAAACTTAACATAATTTAATTAATATCTTTGTATATACTAATTCATATATCAAATATTAACAAATATATCTACACCCCAAAAAAAATTAAAAAGCATTTGTTCCTTAAAAGCCCTAGATGTGAAAGAAAACCACGCATATAAAATTCATGGCACTGGTTCCTCAATACAACTTTAGCACAAAATCACTCATAAAAACATTCTGAAAATACTCCAAATTTATTTCAAGTTTTTAAACAACTTAATTGATCTATAAGATTATCAATCATCAAAACAAGAATCTGCAAAAATTCTCGACCTTTGACTTTGAGTACAAATCTAAAGGAATCCTCAGACTATTATTACTAGTAATAAATAACAAGGTTAAAGATTCACATTGGTGGTCTCCCGGAACCAAGCAGTTGGCCTACAAGATTTGTTACCTGAAGATAAATGAGAGAGAACGTTACACATTCACATATGGTTGAGAAGGTTTATTTATATTTGTTTGTATTATGATCATAAATCTTGAATAAAATGTGACAAATATATGAAGAAATGTTACCTGCCAATATTTTGAAACACAACGATCAATGCAGCTGTTTTCACCCATGTTCAACTCAGACTCTTTGTACCTAAAACAATTAAGTTATTCAAAATCACATCTATGAAACACCATATATTGAATTAATGTGAGGATGAAAATCTTGAAGGAGGAATTTCTTATTATTATTATTGTGAAGAGATGATACCTTTTCTCAACACATTTAGCAAAACATGTATGAGTTAGCCTGCATCAAATTATACACGTGTTAGATATAAACTTTGCATAACACAGGAAATGGAAGAGATGCATTAAAGGGTTTTCATTTTTTAATATAGAATTTACAGCATTATATGCCCTTTACTAAAATAAATGTTTAAAATCCTTATTGATGAATAAAATCAAGGATCTTACTTGTTAAACAATTCAACCCTATACTCCATCTCTTTCTCTGCCATTCCAAAGATCTATAGATCAAAAAAACAAAATTAAGTAATTAGCACCATCCATTTAGAACCTAATCTTTAGAGACAAGAAAACAAACAGAGATGCATTTTTTTTTCTTTCAGACAAATGAATTGCTAAAAACAAATCAAATGGTGTTTGCTCAAAATTCATATATACCATCACTTTATAATTTCAATTACTTATTTATCAAACTTAAATTAGTTCAAAGCAATGTGAAGCCATGTGGATTATCCGGATAAGAAAAAAATACTTATATTTCCCTCATTTCCAAAAACTCTCATTATCTGCCAAAGCAAACCATTCCAAGCTCAATTAAAACCAAATAGGATCAACGAAACTTGATATAAATCAAGTCGTTTTAAAGAAAAACATTATATTAGCGAAGATTACCTGTTCCTTGTCTAATGCGACAGGCATCTCATTATTTGAAGCCATTGTAGGTTGAGCGGAGTTGAAGAAAGTAACAACAACCTGCAAAATTATGAATACAGATAATAAGTGTTTGATATAAGTGTTTGATAAAGAAGTGATCATCGACACACTTAAAGACCAAATACTCACAGAATCTAAACAAAGCTTAATAAAGATTAAGAACAGATGTCAAACATCTGATAAAGATTAATAAAGATCAGAAGCTTTATGTTTGTTTTTTTTTGTTTTAGATATTGACAACCGATTTGATAACCGACAAAATTCGACCTATTTAATATTATCATTTTATTCAAGCTAAACATCTGATAACCAAAAAATTTCGACCCATTAATCTTGTTATTGGATTATCAGTTATCAGTTCATCTAGACAGACAGAATTCCGAACAAACCTTAAAAACCAATTAATCGACACTTAAAATCAAATGAACTCCGATCAAATCGACACTTACCTGAGAGGCTGAGACGATGCGCCAATGAAGGAGAGGGGTGACGAACGACAGAACTCAGAACGGTGAATCGTGAAGTCGTGACGATGAGCCGGTGAACGAGAGGGGTGACGAACGACAGAACTCAGACGATGCGCCGGTGAAGGAGAGGCTGAGACGATGGAGGCGTCGATGGTGGATGGACTGACGACTGAAGTCGTGATCGACTGATCAATGCTATTGCTGAAGCTCGTGAACGTGAAGGAGGGAGGCGGAAGGCTTACGAGCATTAGATTTAGGTTACGGCTGATGGTGATACAATAAATTAGGTTTGAACAATTGAACCATCCCTAAACTAAACCCAATGGACTTGTGAATCCGTTTTTAGCAACCCAAAAATTAAAGAGCCCAAATTTCTTTTTATTGTTTATTAGGTAAGTCTTATTATAATTTTAAGTTTTTAACCATATATAATATATTTATAAAAATATAAAAATATAAAAATATTATATATAATTAAACGGGTCATCTTCGAGCTGAAAATCTTGACCCTAACCATACTCATTAATTTTTCTTGTCGTGTCAACCCATATAGATAAACGGGTCAAAATCTTTGGCCCTAACTCGCTAACTTCGTGTCGGGTTGCCGTGCCGTGCCAGATTTTGTCAGGTCTAGCGAGAAGAGAGTCAGAGAGATCTGAAAGTTGAGGGAGTTTAGGGTTTTAAGAAGGCAAAAGAATACCCAGTTTGGACACTGTTTTCCTTTTGGTTTTTGGTACTAGGCACAATAGTTTTCTTTTTAACAATATTGTTATAGTTCTTTCTTTTTTTGCAATTCAGCCATTTTTAGTTTTTTACATTTGTACTCGTACTATGATTAAAGAACAGTCGTTCCGTTAACAATTTGAAAGATGTGAATTTTAACTATTGGTATCTTAACTTGATGTTTTTTATTTCAACCGTCCATATTAAACCAACCACAACATTTCCAATGATCCTTCTAACATCTTCCTCTTCTTGCTACCATCATACACCAGAGTCTACATGCAATCAATTATTCAATCAACCTAAAGATAGTTGATAATGCCAATTCAAGACTTTCATTTCAATATACTATGACAGTCTATATAGTTGATAATGCCAATTCAAGACTTTCATTTCAATATACTATGATAGTCTATATATATACGCTCTCAATATTGTTCATACTTCGCATATAATTAATTTGAACATATATAAACACCTTGACCTTTTTAAGTACTTATACCCAAGTATATAAACAATACTTTTACCTAAAATACTTCAAATCTTCAATGTTAACATGTCTATTTCATACATTTGCAAAGAACTTGGCTCTACTTTCAAAATTATCTCGGACTATCCCCTTTTTAGTTTAAACTTGCATACTTCATCCTTGAAAGACGATTTTGTTGTGAACTTAGTATGTACAAAAACTGAAATGACCATAATATCCTTGTGTTTTTATTTTGCAAATAGTTCGATGTTTTTATTATTATTATTCATGCCTACTATACTACCTTCCCCTTTACTTTCCTCATCCCTTCACTTCCAAACCCTTATTTTTACTAATCAGAGAGAGTAGAGACCCACAAAACACACACAAACATGTGTGTGTACATATGCAATACCGAGAAAGAGGGCAAGAGAAACAGAGAGATATCGCGATGGCGGAGTAGCGATCATCACCCCCTTCAAACCATCATTGTCGTCCCATTCATACCATTGATATCGTTCCCCGCGGGCTTCAAGAAACCTCTTACCAAAGTACTATACCTCGCCGACTTCTTGATTTGTAAATACACGACTAGAATCCCGACGAAATATACTCCGCTGGTGGGTAGCGGCTCCTAGGGTTATGAAATGAAAAGAATAGAGGGCATTTAGGTTTTCTGGGAAGTGATCAATGGTGGTTATGGTTGGGTTAGCCCGCGATCGGAAAAGAGAGCAGGAGAAAGAGGATGGCATAGGTATGGTTGTCAATGGTGGAGGCCTGGTAGGAGTTTGACCACGTTGTATAGTGGTTAGGGCAGTGGTTGGTCTCGTCGGAGAAAGAAGGAGGAGAGTGATGGGGACAAGACCGACGATGTTGCTTGGGTATTTGTCGGTGATGTAATGTATTGTGGTTTCCAATCGTCGATGATGTAATGTATTTTGGTTTATAGGGAAGGTAGAAGGAAAATGGGGAAAGAGAAATGAGAGGGTATATTTAGTATATTTTATTTTTTTATCTAAAAATGATAAACAAATAAAAGAAAATTCAAAAAAGAAAATATTAAGGGTAAAAAAATCATTTTATATACGTAAGAGACTGTCTGAGTGAAAAGAAAACAATATATTGATGGTCCGAGTTAATTTTTAAAAATAAGAATTAAACATGTTTTTTGACACATACACAAAAACAATTTGTGTATTTTACTCCAAAAAAATGTTATAGAAAGCTTAACATTTTAGTATGAAATCTTGTATGTTATCGAAAGGTGAACGTTGTAATGTGAGATCTTTTATTTCTGCTACACGGGATTACATTTTAAAAATCCCCAAAAAAAAACCTTGGAATTAAATTAGAATCAAATAGAAGCCCTTGCCTAGATCGGTTTGTAGGCCCAATTATTATTTATAATTCAGTTTATTTGGGCCAGGAATGGTCCACAAACTAGCTCGGCTTAATCAAAGCCCACTTTTATCAATTTCTTTACAGCAAATGACTAGTTTCAAGCCTGATTTGGAGCAATGTACACTACTAATGCCCATAATACGATTACAAATGTTAAAAACTGTTGAATTTTGGCTAAATAATAAATAGTGTTTTCCTATCCCACATTGCTAGAATGATGAAAGCTTGGGAGGTCTCCAAGCTTATAAAGGAAGACAAAGGCTAAGGTTTCCAAGCACCTCAACAAAAAATACACTTAAAGTGTTTGGTGATTTCTTTCTTTCTCTTATTTTGGAATTTCTACTCTTTTTTTTAGAGTGAAGGAAATCTTTGTAAACACTTTGTGAGAGTGTGAGTGTTTTTGGGGAGGATTAAGAGATTAGTGTATGTGATTGTAACAATTTATCATATAGTGGATCTTTCTCGCTGGAGGCCCGTGGTTTTTCTACAGTTTTAGAGTTTCCACGTATATTCTTGTTTCCATTTATTTTTCTCTATTATTATTTTGGAAGGATTGTTGGGGATATTTGAGGTTGTTTTCCCAAAGATAACTAAAGTTGGCCGAATTGCAAAAAACAGAAAGAACTATGACAATATTGTTAAAAAGAAAATTATTGTGCTCATTATCAAAAACCAAAAGGAAAATTATGTCCAAATTGGGTACTCTTTTCCATCCTAAAACCCTAAACTCCATCAACTCTCATATCTCTTTGACCTTCTTCTCGCCGAGCGAGGTAGAAGATTTCCAAATCAAAATCACTTGCTAATTGGTCTTATACTTTTCAAACACTTATAATCTATATTCAGAAATTTGTAGGTTATTGTTAGTTTCTTCATCTCCGCTCAACCTATAATTGCTGCAAACAATGAGATGTATGTCGCATTAGAAAAGGAACATGTAATCTTATACGCTAATATTATTGTTTTTCTTTAAAACGCTATGATTTATATCAAGTTTCGATGAACCTATTTGGTTTTAATTGAGCTTGGAATGGTTTAGTTTGGCGAAATAAAGGAGTTGTTGGATCTGAATGAAATATAAATGCTCTTTTCTTATCCGTATAATCAACATGGCTTCGCATTGCTTTCAACTAATGTAAGTTTGATAACAAGTAGTCGAAATTATATAATGAATGTATATATGAATTTTGGGCAAACTCCATTTGATTTGTTTTGGAGCAAGGAAATGCATCTCAGTTTGTTTTATTGTCTCTAAAGATTAGGTTCTAAGTGGATGGTTCTAATTCCTTTATTGTCTTTTTCTTGATCTATAGATCTTTGGAATGGCAGAGATGGAAATGGAGTACAGGGTTGAATTATTTAACAAGTAAGAACCTTAAATTTTTGGATATCTTGTAATGTGTTATTTTAGACATTTCTTTTGGGAAAGGGCACATGATGTTGTAACTTCTATTATTTAAAAAACACCCTATAATATCTCTTCCATTTCATGTGTTATGTAAGTTCATATTTTACACGTGTTTTTTGACACATACAGACAATTCGTGTATTTTACTCCAAAATTTATTCTCGAAAGGTTAACGTTTTAGTGTGAAATCTTTTATGTTATCGAAAGGTTAACGTTGTAAGGTGAGATCTTTTATTTATGCTACACAAGATTACATTTTTAATATCCCAAAAAACCTTGAAACTGGATTAGAATCAAATAGAAGTCCCTGCATGATATCGGTTTGTAAGCCCAATTATTATTTACAATTCAGTTTGTTTGGGCTAGGACTGGCGCATAAACTAGACCCGTTTAATCAAAGCCCACTTTTATCGGTTTCTTTACAGCAAATGACTGGTTTCAAACCTGATTTGGAATCTAGAATGTACACTACTAATGTCCATAATACGATTACAAATGGTAAAAACTATTGAGTTTTGGCTAAATAAGAAATAGTGTTTTCGCATCCCACATTTGTATAATATTGAAAGCTTGGGAGGTCTCCAAGCTTTTAAAAAAAGAAAAAGGTTTGGTTTCCAAGCACCCCAACCAAAAATACACTTAAAGTGTTTAGTTATTTATTTCTTTCTCTTATTTTGTATTTTCTACTCTTGTTTTTAGAGTGAAGATAATCTATGTAAACACTTTGTGACACTGTGAGTATTTTTTGGGAGGCTTGAGAGATTAGTCTATGTGATTGTAACAATTTATCATATAGTGGATTGTTCTCTCTGTAGGCCTGTGGTTTCTCTCCAGTTTTAGAGTTTCCACGTATTTTCTTGTGTCCAATTATTTTTCTCAATTATTATTTTGAAATGATTGTTGGGGATCTTTGAGGCCGTTTTCCCAACAAAAACTAAAGACGGCCAAATTGCAAAAAACAGAAAGAACTATGTCAATATTGTTAAAAAGAAAAGTATTGTGCCCAGTATCAAAAACCAAAAGGAAAAGTGTGTCCAAATTGGGTATTCTTTTACCTTTCTAAAACCCTAAACTCCCTCAACTCTTAGATCTCTCTGACCCTCTTCTCGACGGGCGAGGTAGAAGATTTCCAAATCAAAATCACTTGCTAATTGGTCATATACTTTTCAAACACTTATGATTTGTATTCGAAATTTTGCAGGTTATTGTTAGTTTCTTCATCTCCGCTCAACCTACAATGGCTGCAA